CCCCCCCCCAAAAGCTCCTGCACAAAAAAAAAGGCGACATTGAGGAGAGAACGAGCCCTGGCAGCAGCCGGCTTCACTACATGCATTGAGCGAGGCGTACGTATGTAGAGAACAACAATGATGGACGAAACTGACTCAGCATGTACGCATGTTTTCAGCTTCTTGGTTGCATATACTTACTTCTCCATGGGCAACAACAAAAACGTGGAACGAACACATGTTCGACAAAATTTGCATGCAATGACGCAAACATGCACATGCACGTGTAGTGTCTGTCTCAAATCGATACCATACATCAAGGTGTGAAAACTTTACATGGACGTGAAAATTATCTCCGCTTCTATGTAGCACGAACAGAGACGATCGACTATGGGCTCCACTCAAGACAGCGCTGGGTTTGATCAACAGGGTAACCCTGCCACCGCCTGGAGCCACACATGAGAGAGGCTGAATCAGCATCAGCAAATTCATTCAATTCCCTGCGAAAAAAAGGCATATGTAGGGAGCGCCTACCGCCGCCGCTGCTGTCTCTCATGACACATACATACGTACAAAGACATGCAGGAAAATGCCCACACCAAACGCTCGTGGCGGGTCACAAGCGTAGCCACACACACACACAGCAAAGCCTTCTCGTCGTCGTCTTTACCTGCAGCTGCTTCTCCGCGTACTCCTCCTCGGTGTAGTTAAAGTTGAAGGGGTTCCAGCGGCCCTCTCCCTGGCCGAGCCCGATGTCTCCCGCCACCCCGCTGTCGCTCCTGATGCTCCTGTTGAGTCTGATGGTCTCGAGGATGAGGAGAGTCACCACGATCTGGATGCCTCCCGCGGTGGGGATGTTGTCGTACGCGAGGAGGGGGTTCATCTCGGCGAACCTGTCCGGGCCGAGGACGGTGTTGCCAGGGAAGTGGTAGATCTCGGGGAAAATCCACCCCGCGGCGGCGAGCATGGCGACGCGTCCGTGGGCCAGCTCGGCCTCGCGGTACCACTTGACGCGGGCGGCGGTGCCCGTGCCCTCTCCCTGCACCCATGCGGGAGGGTTGTTCGCGAACCCGGCGGGGTCGAAGCCAAAGTCGCCCACCATCTCGCCGTCGAGGCCCTCCGGGTAGGGGTCGATGGGGATCGAGATAGACCTCTCGGGGGTTGCTGCCATGGCGAGCTTTGAGGGTGCGCTGCGCACGCCGGCGAGGGGCAGAGACGCTCCCGGCACGAAGGCCGAGGCTGGCGCCAGGGCGCACAAGGAGGTGGCTGCTGCGACGAAGGACTTCATTGTGCTGTGGGTGAGAGTGGGTTGCTTTATGGAGTCCTGTGCAAACGCGTGGTAGAGTTGCGAGAGCGGGGCGGCTTGTGTGTTTGGTTCCAAGGAAACACGCACATGCTTGAGGTAAAGATATCCGCCTATATATTCAAGTGACAATATTCCGTTTAAAACCCAAGTAATTTTCAACAGCCCCGGCAGAGCATAACGCCTGAGATAAACCCCTTCTCGTTCCCATACGCGTACCCCCCGAGCTCAGAGAGCTCGTCCGCCTGACACCTCGTTTGCTGGTGTGCTGCCGCTGCCAACGCCGTGTTGCAAAGTTACAAAGCTGACAAGCTCATGCCTGTTACCGAGAGTGCTGGACTTTGACCGTGATGGACCGTTTTTGTCGTGATAATGGCTCAACTCGAAGACGAAATGGACACAGCAGCAGTGCTGGTGGCAGCGCCGTCACGGTCGTGATGCTGTTCACGCTGCTACTGCTACAACATACTTGCTCCGCTGCGGATGGCTTCTCGTCGTTCAGCTTTGGGGGCATGCCCAGCGGTTTCAATACGAGGGTGGACAATGAAGGCTACTATAAGGTGAACGGGTCATGGTGTGCCCCGCACGACGTCAACTTGGTTCTGCTGTTGTGTTGGCGCACTACTCTCTGCGCACAACACGTGGTTCGGCCACAGGAGCGGTGATGATGCAACCGCATCATGTTTATTTACTACACACCATCGAGCTGTTTCCGCGGCAGAGTTGCGCGAACCATCAGGCCCAGTAGTAGTAGCAACACAGATTGTTCCTTTGGCATGATGACGTACCGTTTCATGCGGGTGCACCCACTTGCGGTGGCAGGAACAGTAGTAAAAGCTTTGTGTTGGTACTATTCAGCAGAGTCGACGCTTGTCGCTTGTCACCCCGACGCGGACGTTTGGCAAGGACACTGCTGTCTTGTACTTGCAGCTCAAGACAAGTTACCACTAAATACACTCCTTCTGACTGCCGAGACCGGTCGATGCATGCCTACGTCCATGAACTCCAGCAGAGATACAATCGCGTATCGGCATATCGTTCTTAATTTGCCATCTGTCAAGCAGCAGCTGACACGTGAAGCAGCACGGCAAGGTGTGTACATTATTGCCACTGGCATACGGTTGCGACGAATACATACATATCCCCAAACCCACACCCACACACAACAGAGATTGGTGTGGCACACACAGCAGCGTCGTGGTTAATGACGTTGAGTATTCATTGTTGATCGGTAAAAATCGTCAAAACCTCATTGAGGGTTCGCTGGCTGCTTGACTGGGCCGCAAAACTTGGTAGTTGACATTTCCTACGGTACGACCGATCGCTTGCCGCCTACTATTACGCCGCAGATTTTGGAGGTGGGGAAGACAGCGGACGCGGGCTCGATCACCAAGGCCTACCGCAAGCTGGCGAAGAAGAAGCACCCAGACAAAGGAGGGGACCCGGAGGAGTTCAAGGCCCTGGCGGAGGCGTACGAGGTGCGACGTTTGCGACGTTGTTTTCATGGGTTCGTGCGGCAACACGTAGCGCTACTGGTGTTGGAAGAGCGAGGTTGCCGGTAGCCGCTGCCATCGGTTTCCATTCGACCCAACGGTTGCAGCGAGACACAATGGACCGGACACGTTCCCGTGGCTCTTTGTAGGATGAAGAGGGAGGGAGGGAGGTAGGAAGCGAGCGAGAGAGAGAGAGAGAGAGAGAGAGAGAAATGGGAGAGCGAAGGTGCCTGGTTCATCGAAAACAGGCCACGAGTTGTATAGGTCGCCCATCAACAACGAAATCGAACCTGTTCGGGATGTGAGGGGCTGCTGATACCAACTTCCTCGCCCAGCGCATTCTTCTGTTGTATCCCTAAAAAACAACATCCAAGGCACGTTTTGCTTCGCGGTGGCTGTTGTCGAATCACCCATCAAAACAGATTGTGGTCACTTTTTCTCAAGACATCACTCAACGATCAGGTGCTCAGCGATCCCGAGAAGCGACGGCTCTACGACCAAGTCGGGAAGGAGGGGCTGCAGGCCGGGGGGGGGGGAACGGGGATGGACCAGAGCAGGCAGCAGGCTGATTTGTTTCGGTCGTTCTTTGGGAGGTTTAGCCAACCGCAGGTAGGTGTGTTGTGCGATTCTGCGAAAGCACCGCCGGGGGGGGTGTTATCTAAAAACGCTGATTTCCGGGGAGGGGGCAGGCGTGGTACACATCGCACGCCATTTAGTCGATAGTTTGTTTGCACTTCGTGACTCATGTTCGCGATTCTTCTCATTTGTTATAGCTTTCGTGAATCACTTCGTATGCAGACTCTTTTCTGTGTTTATTTGTTTTTTCGAGGGGGGGGGGGTTCACCGTAGTGTCGCCTACGGAACTTGCGAGGAAATCGAGTTTGGCGTCTCTCGCTTGGGATGTTTCTCCACCACGTTTTTGGGAAAGCGCATGATCTCTACGCCCTAGCCGTGCCTGCCGTGTTTGTGCACCGGGAGAGCGATATACGGGGTTACCGTACCATACGCCTTGCTCCCCTGACACTCTGCTTCTGTAACCCTCCTTCTCCTTCTCCTTCCCCCCGCCCATTTTTCTCCGTTGCCTCTTCTGTCTTGGATTCTCCCTTCACCCCCTCGTCGATGGCTTTCGCTCTCCCCGAACGCCATCAACACCGCCAACAATAACACAAACAAACACCGATGACGACAACGACGACGACACGCGCCAGCCTGTTCGGATGCGCGATGTAGTCTACGAGATGGAGGTTACTCTCGAAGAGCTTTGCAACGGGGGCGAGAAGAAAGTCAGGATCTGGAGCGAGGTGCCCTTGGAAGGGGGGCGCACGGAGAGGGTAGCTAGGGACATAGAGATCAGCCTCACGGCAGGGATGACTACGGTGAGCGAAAAGAGACCGTACAGCGGTTTCGTCTAGACCGCGGTAGGCGGCACAACCTCGCGCACCATGACAAAGGACTTGACTTCTGTTTTCGAGGAGGCGAAGGGGCGACACACTTTCCGTCGATGCGGGCGTCGAAAATTTGGCGATGTTGTGTTTTGACCAGTCTTGAGCGCTCTACGCCTCACGTCTCCACTCTACGCGCTGTGTTTAAGCGGTAGACGACGGTTTATCGACATCTTGGGCAGCGGTCCAACGGTGTTTGAAGGCCAAGTCCTCCTAGGAGTCGGTGCGTGCGCCGTTTGTGGTTCTCGCGCATGGATGCCAACCTACGAGCAGTGCACCGAGACTCAAAGACGAATGCGCGCCACCCCTCCCTCGTCGACAAAGATGCTGCCGACTAGCGAATATTCCCAAGGCCAAGGTTTTCCAGTAGGCGACGCAGCAGCAGTAGCCCATTCACTCAACCGCCCGCCTTTTCCTCCTCTCCCGGTCGCGATTTTTCTTTGTTGCCGTTTCCGCCAACGAACGCCTGCGAACAGGGCACTCGAATAGTCATGGAGGGGGGGGTGGACCCCATAGAGGAGGGAATCCAGCCCGGGGATCTTGTGTTCGTGCTGAGGGAGACTAGACATCGCACCTTCCGGAGGCTGACGGGGGATTCGCCCCACCTCACTGCCGACATCACGGTGGGTTGTCTCTTACACCCAGCCTTTCCACACTTGTAGGGGTCCCATAGAAGTTGAGGGCACGGAAGTGAACGAAAGGGGTCTTAGTGCTTATAAGGGTCTAATAGATAGGAGTTATGGCCACGGAATTGAACGACAGGGATCTTAGCGCGCACTTGTAAGCGTCCAATAGAAGTTATGGCCACGGAAGTGAACGAAAGGGGTCTCAGTGTTCGAGGGAGAAGGCCTTTGAGGTTTGTGCTTCCCTTTTCTTGGTTAAAGCTGACCGTAAAAGGGGAATACCTCCGGAGCATATGTCACTCGGGTGCTTCCATGGGAATGGGGCGTAAAGACGGTGGTTTTTGTGAGCGAAAGGGGGGATCTGCTTTCCGTCTCCAGCTACATATGCTGCAGGCGGGGCGTGCGCGTCCATGAGAGTGTCATCCATATTTTTTTGTCCGTTCTCTTGGAGGCGCAGGCTAACTAGTGCTTCCTCTAGGTACCGTGTAAAAATTTCCTCAACCACCGAACACGGACCCCTTTCTCCCTTCGCATTCCTTGACAATGTGGCAGAATCATCAAGAGAGCCCCAGATATCCTTCGTGTTTTTGGTCATCAATCAAGAAAGGGGCCGCTGTGACACGGATTCGTGGCAAATTTTATCTCTACGTAGACGACGAACAAGCAAGCTCGCCCCCCTCACTCATTATTTCGCCCTTTCCCGGACTAGGCTGCTCGTCGCTTAGATGCTGTCTGACTTCTTGCTGCCGATCGACCCTTGCACCCTACAAGTCTACCACTTCCTCAACCACAACCCCACGCTGACGGCGTCGGCAACACCCTAGTCTTGTGCCAGTCGACCCGCTAGCTGACGCCTTCCAAAGGCAAGACACCCCTCCCGCACTCGAGGACACCCCTGCACATGCCATACCCCTGACCCATGGGGGCTTCGATCGCGTGGGACAAGCGAAACCCCTTTTTGCCGCAGCAGATGGGCTGATCCCCCTCCCCACTTTCCCATGCGATTGTGCGTTCGATTCGTGTACAGGTAACTCTCGCAGAAGCGTTGACTGGTTTCGTGCGATCGATCAGCCTTGTTGATGGCCGGACGGTTTTTTTCAAGAGCAAGGAGGGGGAGGTCATCTCGCCCGGGGCTGTCCGGAAGTTGCCGGTGAGGGGGGTGAAGTAGTTTTTCGAGCCGGCGGTGAGAGGGGGGGGGGGGCGGGGGGGTTGAAATCACACGGCCTTACCCCCCCCCCGTCCGGAAGTAAGCACAAAATGCCGAACCCCCTTAGCAGGATGCTGCGCACTCTCCATGCTATTCGCCGAATACCTCACGGCGCCTCGCGCTTTTTGTTATATGTACTACAACCTGGGCCGGTGAAAACCCGACGTGCTCCGTCCCGGCTGTGGAATTCTCAGTCAATGGTCTAGCAACTACGACATGCATGGCTATGAGTACACCTCCCCGCAAAGTAGGAAGGGACGATTGACCATCGGTGATCGGTCCTGTGGGAACAATGCTCCGTTCTCCCAAACCGCAAAGGCATGCGAAACACGAGAGTACACCCCTCCCTGTCGAACGCGTTGTTCAGGGCTGCGGCATGCCTGTCGGAGAACGACAGAAGGGAGACTTGTATCTTCGGTTCGTGGTGGAATTCCCGAGCGAGGAGGTTTCTTCAGCTTGGAGGGAGGAAGAGCGAAAATCCCTCCAGGACCTACTCCCCCCAAAACCAAAGTTTCCAAAGGAGAAGCCGGTATGTCTGCTATTTTTCTCTCTCGAAGGAGGAGGAGGGTGTGTGCCTCCGATAAATAGTCGTATTCTGGGGGGGGGGGGGAGGGGGGGATACTTGGATGGGTTAGTCGAGGGTTAACTCTGATTGCCAACCAGACCCCCACTTCTTTGATAACGCCAGGGCGAAGCTCGAAGAAGAACGTGCCTGTGTTTGGCTAGTCAGCACCCCACGCCCTTCAACACAACTTCAACTTTCTTGCCGTCTGTAACAATACGTTCCGGTCTATGCTCATCACGTTCTAACATCCGCGGTTCCAACGGCGTACACACTTGTAGAAAATGATGTTCTTGTACCACTATTTTTTTGGCACACCCTTCGCCTCCTTTTGGTGCTGTTCTTTTGATGTTTTCCCCGATGCCCCCGGCTTGTACTGTGCGCAGGATAATCCGGCCGTTGAAATCCTTCCCGCGGAACCGAGCGTGGCGAGCCGTTTCAAGGCTGGCTTGTACGATAAGCCACCCAGAGGCACGTCCCGAGGAGCAGGACAGGGAGGCCCGTGGGGTAGCGGTAGCGCAGCGGGGGGGATGGGCAACCCGTTCGGCTTCTTCGGCCTGTAGAGGAGAGAAACGGCATCATGCTGCTACTGCTGCTGCTGCCCCTGCTCTTGCTCCTTCTGTTTTTCATGAACGCGGAAGTAAGTTGCATGCACCCGGCTCGGCTCGATTTTGTGCTGGTTTTGGCTTGAAGCAATCCCTTTAGGTGCTTGCCACGACAGCACGTTGCTTGTCGTAGTGGTAGTGGTGGGCGTTGGGCATCATGTCTTCACGTGACAGGAGTGCTCTTAAGAAACGTTGGTCTCCCGTTGGGCACAAGAAAAACACCGTCGTTTCGACAACGTCGCAATTGTGTTTTTTCACACCACAAGTTTTTCGCCTTTGGTCATGTCACCTTCATGTGCCTTTTATCACTTTCTCCACCCGACATCGACCCCGCTCGGGTGTCCGACACCAATATAGTTCCGCCGATTGGGAACTTGACTTGACTGTCGGCGATTCACACATCATACGCCAAAGAGGGTCTCGAGACTAGCAACACCAGCCCTCAGCTTTTCCGGTTCAAAGCGACCTCGCTTTTCCATCTTGCCTCAATGTGTTTTTCTCAACGCATTCGGAAAAGAACCCGACAAACTGAACGCATCCTTCTGACACACGGCGCCCAGATAACCAGCGCATGTCGTACCAAGCAGCGACAAGCCCGCAAAATAAACTATGGCTTCTTCCTGCATCAATCTGTCATCATGATAGTCCACCTACTAACAAAAGTCTATTTTTTCAACCGTCCAAGGTTACGGTGCCAGCCGTGAACAACACGCACGTGGCAAGCAGCCACGCAAGGGCAACAACCACAGCAGCAGCAGCAGCAGCAACAGCAGCAGCAAAGTTGACTGGAAAGGCGCGTGATAATCAACCAAGCCCCTCGCTGTACGCACAGCGCTCCATCGTTGGCTGGTCTCCTACAGTTTCTATGCCCTAGCAGCCACGCCCTAAGTTCTCGCACATCGCTGCCCGGCGCCTTGCCTTGTCGTTGGCCTCGTCCTTCAGCCGCTGCTGTTTCTCCCCCTCTGCTGCCCTCGACTCCTGTTTTTGTTGTTCCCGGATTCCGTTGCAAATTCAAGGGTTGGGTAAAAGTCAAGGCGACTTACTAACTAGAGAGGGACAACGTGGCGAAAAAAAAAAATCCGAAGCGGTTTTATCTGTCGATAGACAAAGCGAGCGCAAGTTGGAGGCACCAGCAGTGCTGTAGCGAAGAATCATGCAGGAAACTTAGTCCGACGAGAGGTGGCAACCAAGCGCCAGTCACGCAAGATTTTTTTTTTCGCTGGTCACATGTTTCGGTGTGCAACGTGGAGGTCCCATAAAAAGAGCACAACCCGTCGGGGACGATTCCCTTATTTTTCACCGTTGTTACACGTTATTTTCCATCGCTGGCTGTACCTTGCGTCACGTTCTTGCCGGGATCACACATCGAAGAATGCCTCTCTGCGGTGCGCGCCGCCTTGCGTGACGGGACAGGTGTTGCACAGGTCCTTCTCTCACGCTTACCACTCACCAACAAGCACCTCGTGCCTCCTAGAAATCGTTCAGCAGCGCTTCGCACGAAGCCCAAACGTACGCAGAGTTGTTCACACGCCAAATTTACCACAAAAGAAGAAAGCTGTACACAGCAGACGACGTTTCGAGCGTCTGATCGCTTGCTTCGCAAGGGGGTGCTACAACAGCAGTGACACCCCGACGGAACCCACTTACCCCGTAGGTCATCTGTCCCGACGAACTCTTCCCGTTGAGCTTGGCCTGGATACGGTCGTTGGGAAGAAAGATATTGACCCACGGGGCGCGATTTTGTAAGCAGAGGACCAAAGTTGCGGTGCTGTCACACACGCCTAACGCTTGTGCGCACGGGAGTTGGTCGGAGGAGGGGTTAGGTGTACTATGGGATGTCGACCGCACGGCTTATCCCCGATGTCATCAGCCACAGCCTGTTGCGGCATTCGGGGTAAGCCTCCAAATAACTGCGACGGGGTGTTCAGGTGCGGCTTATTGTTCACACGATGTACAGCAGCGCTTGTCGTCATCGCAGCCCCAAAAATGCGGATCTTTCGCCAATGATGGTGCTGCTGTTACTTCTTCAGCACACAGCTCGAGAAAACAGCAACTCTTTTCTGAATGTTACAACGGGGCCCACAAGCCCGAGACGTCCAGCGAAGATGATGCACTTGCTATGGGATTTAACTGTTGTACAAGGAGCTGAACGGTAGTCATATATCAAGGTTATGGCGGGAGCTGCAACTTCCTAGAATAGAACAATTATCAAGGGAATTATTGCCATAGCGGCCTCTGCCCGGGCGTGGTGTCTTTCCAACACCTACCGTTCAGGTCTGTGTACTCCAACCCCACAACATGCTGCTGTAGGCGTACCTGAGCCGCGAGCTTCCTCTGAATTCTGGCCGCTTCCTCGGACAATGGTTCCCCCTCCGTGAGCTTGACGCCCCCCATGGGCGTAGGCGCGCCGCCGTCTAGATCTCCCAGCTGATCGGCTACCGCGGCTCCGGGCTTCAAGCCTCCCGTGACCACCCCCAGCCCCGCAGCGGCCGCGATTGTGCCGGCGGCACTGGACAAGAAATCACTGAAAAAATACAAAAGAAACATGCAGCCAGACAGCAGCAGCACAGAACCGGCCCACAGTTAGGAAACATTTCGTTAAGAAACAGAGGCTCAAATCTTACGAAAAAAAAAAAAGGCTCAAGAAAACAGCTCAGCGGTTGATCCCATTCTACACACCTGATAGCAACCTGTGCTTGACAACAGTGGCCATGGAATGAGAACTGACCCTCGATATGACTGACGTTGCTGTATCTCCGGGCTTCGGGTTACGGTAAAGTGTAGCGTTGTTGGTTGCGGCGGTAGATCTGCGGCGCGAGAATGTGACACGAGGCACGCGTGCGATCGCAGACCCTCGCGCAGCTGCTGTAAGGTCTTCTTGCAACGTGCCGGTCGCGATTTGCAGGACTTTCGCTGGGTATGGTGGTATGGTGGGCGTTTCGGAGGTGCGGAAGTAGGGGCCTATCACCGGGAATAGCGATGCCGTGAACAGAGTAAATTTTCGGGTGGGGCGGGGTAACCATACTCGGCATTCAACCGTTGACCACTCATGTTCGGTCGTTCGCAACTAAGAGACGGGGCCCTCCAAGACATGGGCGCTCTAGCGTATGCAGCGGGAGTGGGGTGGGATTCAGAGACGGCGGTTGATTTCAATGCTACGGTACGACATTTACCCCATTGTCACGAGAGCCCCCGCCTCGTTCCAGAACAAACTGCTGCACGGCGTTGCGAGAGCGCGAATAATGTCGGGTTCAAACAAAATGGGGGTCAATCGGCGTCCGGGAGGGAGGCTGCGCCTTGTTTCTGTTACTTCTTGTTTCCGGTGAAAAAGGAAATGAGGGTGGTACTCCGTTGTAAGGAGGGTGGGGCCCAAGGGAATCACTTGTATTTCGGCAGGTAACGCCGGGGGTTGGATGTTTGTGTCCGTATATCTGAATAAATACTCAACAAGTAATTGGTCTTGACCCCCAGGTACTTTTACAAGCTTGTCAGCTTGAGTAGTTAATTTTGGTTTGATCTGACTAGTCTATGATGGTTTGATTTTGGCTTCAAAACTCGCACATGCCCCTGCGAAAGCAGACGCTGGGTGGAACCTTACACCACACATCCATTCAGAAACGGTTCGATCGTCAAGTTGCGTATTTGTCGATCATCGTACACAACACGGCATGCCGTGCTCGTGCATGAGAGCCCCCCCGACGTGCCGAGCGCGCTCATCGTAGTAGTCAACGCAGCAAAATTGATTTACCCTTTTGGGTCTACCGGTGTCCTGACAGATCATTGATTGATCATTTGTAAATGCTCATGGCATGCTATGGAGCCGCCCTGTATCCCTCCACGCCACGTGTTGGCAAGTCAATAGGTACGTGTGTCTATATTATTCGCATCGACCGCGTACCCGGTGACCAATGGAAAGACGTTGGTGCCAGCGGGTATATCAAGGTCCCTGGAACGGCCAAAATTCGAAAACTGCACACTGCTGTAAATGCGAATGCCACCATGAATCTCTCCCCATATCCTTTCACAGAGACACACATCAATAGCTCCACGTACATACCTTCGCCCGAATCTAGCAAGCCACAAAGGAAAGACAGGAGGACAGCGACAAGGGGCACTTCAAGCCCAAACAGGCCAGGATATCGTGGCATGCTGCACATATATCCTCCAAATTTGAAAATCGTACACTCCCAAGATCCAGCAGTCATCATGTCAGCAGCTATACTAGACAGCAGCAGTAATATATGTAGACGAGTACAACATACAGCAGCACTGCTGTAGTAACACACCATCATCATAGCCCCACACATACTCTCGCCCGAACCTAGAGAGCCACTGATGCAAAGGTAGGTGTGTGCCTGTGTACTTGCGTGCTTGTGAGATTTGTGGGAAAATCACAGGAGCTGTAGTGAGCCGGCAGGGCTCACATCGGGGAGGGGACAGAGAAGTACAGAAGCACAAGAACCAGCTATGGGTCTACAAGCCCCCTCACTGATCATTTTCACTGATCCTGTGAATATATGGAATATTCTGAAAATAGAGTAGTTTGGGCGGCTTGACGACTGATCTTTTCGAGGTCCACAAGCCTAACCTGCCCTAGCGGCCGCACCGCGACCAAGCATCGACCCGTCTATGACCATGTCTGCCCACCGTCCTGTCGTGGGCAGCCCTCATGGCCTATGGGTGGAGATAGCCATTGCGTCTACAGAAGTACCCACGTTCCTTTCTGCTGTATATCCGTCTCTCTCCCCGCACTCCCTCCTCCCTTTATTCTTTTTTGCCGAAAAAAAAAAAGAGAGCTAGACCTCAAGGGTTAAGTACACATATGGGACAAAGTATTCAATCCGTGTTTTAGGGTTAGGGTTGGGGTTAGGGATAGGGTCTGGTGCCCCCTCCCTCTTATTTTTCTAGATACTCTCAAAATCCTGCGTAGGCGCACTGCTGCGTCTGTTCGTGTCCAGACATCATCACCTTTAATACAGTACCGAATGTCATTTGGATAGAGTCACGAATCACTTTTGAACCAGACCATGGGACCCTACGCTACAAACCTGCATGTTCTCTGTAGGTTTTGTCACGGAGGAAACAAACTGTGAGGGTAACGGTAGCTGTAATGTATAAACGCGTAGTGCACAGGACGGTGACAAAAAAAGCAAGGGCGGGTTCTGTAGGGTACGGGTAATCTCTGTAGGGTACAGGGGGTATCACAGAACCATCCTTGATATTCTGTAGGGTACGGGTGGTGATACAGAACGCACAGAATAATCCTGTAGGGTACGGGGATGATACAGAACTTTCTGTGCAGATAGGGTATTGTGAATGGACGTCACAGAACTTTCTGTAGGGTACGGGGGATGATACAAACTACACAGAACTATTCTGTAGGGTACGGGGATGATACAGAACGCACAGAATAATCCTGTAGGGTACGGGG